AACTACATTCTTATGACACCTCTTTGGTAGAATCTATCTTCCTTCAATGTATCTCACCCCTACCTTGGTTTACATTTGATATTTCAACCATATCTTATGAGCTCATGAGCACTATTGAATCCACCTTCATGCTAAAACTCTGATTGAAGACTTTGTAACTTGGTCTGATAACAACCACCTTCATTATATCCCCACTAAAGGATCCTTCTTCTCCTGGTCTAATGGTATATCCAACCACCATCACCATGTAAAAAGAAGACTTGATAGATCCATTGCAAAAAACCTTTTGATTGATAATTATATCTCTCTCTCATGCTCCACCATGGTTAACACCGAGTTTGACCATTTCCCTTTGCTCAGTGACTTCAAGAAATTAGAACTTCATTTTTTTCCTTTAGGTTCCTCAAGATGTGGACCTTTCATCATAATAATGTCAGTGGGGTCAAGTATGCTCGGTTCTCCAACTTTGTAGGTTGCCATATGTTCCTTTTGAATAAGAAGTTGAAGTTTCTTAAGGATAAGCTAAAGGGTTGGAACAATAACATTGTTAGGAATGTTCAAGATAATGTGAAGAAAACTATGTCCAACCTTGTAGAGAAACAATCCCAAATTAATTCCCTTGTCCATGCCAAGGACCTTTTGAGATAAGAAAACCATTCCCAGTTCTTATTAAATGAATATCTTCATCTTGAAGAGATTTTTTTGGCAAGAGAAGGCTAAAACTAAGTGGAACTTAGAATGAGAGAGATGCATTGCTTATTTTCAGAGTTTCTAAAATCAAGCAAGCCTCCAAGACCATCCATGCCCTTAGACATGGTGATCACATTTTTACCAACCCTAAAAAAATTTCTCAATTAAATGGTGAACCACTTCATTAACTTGTTCAACTCCAAGAGCATTGTGGCAAGTAAAATTCTTATTGAGGAAGCCATTATTGAGTTAGTCTTTAAGGCTACCAATAACCTATTTACCTTGACTCACTAAATCTCATAAATCTTTCAAGCAGTCGCTTCTTTAAATAGGGATGAAGCAATTGGGCCAAATGGGTTTAATGGCATTTTCTTCAAAAAATTATGAGAGATTATCAAAGAGGATGCCATTAATGCCACTATCCAATTATTTTCTTCCTCTTGAATCCTCCCTAACTAATACTATAATTGTATAATGTTGATCCCTAAAAGTCCCCAATATTGATAGTGTCAATAATTATAGACCAATTGCCCTTGCCAATTTCAAGTACGAAATAATCTCAAAAATCCACTACTGATAACCTTGCCAACATTTTTCCTTCCATTATTTCAATGGAACAAAGAGGCTTCATAAAGGGTAGACAAATCAAGGAGTACATTTGCCAAACATATGAAGTAATTATCCTTATTCATAACAAGTACTTTGTAGCAACTAGGCTCTCAAAGTTTATATTTCTAAGGCATTTTACATCCTAGATTGGAGTTTTCTCCTCAAGGTCCTCAAAGCCTTTGGTTTCAACTCAATTTTTTTATGGATTGATTGACATGATCCTCAATTCTGCCAAGGTCTCTATCTTGGTCAATGGAAAAAAATAAGGGCTCTTTTCTCGCTCTAGAGGGGTTATTCCCATGAAGATCTATAGGACTTCTAACTTCCATTTCCACATCCTTTATGTTGATGATGTGATGATTTTTTTGCAAAGGCATAAAATCAAACATTTATGCTCTTTTTGATCTTTTTGACATATATGTTGCAACATTTGGGCAAGTGATTAATCCTTTGAAGTCTTCTATTTACTCTGTAAAATGCACCAATCTAGAGCTCATTAACTCAATTCTTGCCTTAATGTCAAAGTTGGTAGCCCACTTTGAATATATGGGGTGTTTCCATCTTCAAGGGAAGTCCTAAGTCAATTCATTTCCATCCATCGGTGGATAATATAACTGCAAACTCCCAAATTGGAAGGCTACTGTTCTCTCAATTACGAGTATGACATGGTTGGTGCAATGTCTCATTCATGGCATGCTTATCCACTTTTTTTACTGTTTATTCTTGACCTATCTATCTTCTTAAGCTCATTGAGAAGTCCATGGGGAATTTTATCTGGAGTGGTTACCCTAAGGATATGAAACTTGTGACTATGGCCTGACACAAAGTTTATCAGCCTTATGATGCAAGAGTCTTAAATGTTAGATCTTTACTTCACATAAATGAGGCATCTAGCCTAAAACTTTGTTGGAAATTATTATTAAAGGACTACTATTGGACAATCTCCCTAAAGCCACAATGCTTAGGAAAAATAGGTCCATTGAGCACCACATTTTCTCCCATTTAGAGATCTATTAAAGGCCAATATCTTAAAGCTTAAACTAATTTTAATTGGTTTCCTGGGATAACTCTAACATCAATTTTTGGATAAATAATTGCATGGACTTTACTATTGTGGATACCTTAAATATTCTCGAAGAGGACCATAATATCTTGAATGATAATGTCAATCATTTTTTGGTTAACACTACTTGGTATCTACTACTCAAATAACTATTTCATACCATAAGCTGCTCCCCATTCTCAATCAAGCTACCCCGACTTCCATCCATAAGCCTGATTTGAGGGTTTGGCTTCCTTCTAAAACTGGAAAGCTATCCTTCAAATGTTATTTTCTTTTCCATTCTCATGGTGAAAATAAACACGGTGGGCTAAGATTATTTGACACACTGTTATCCATCCATCAAAATCCTTGTTGGTTTGGAGGTTGTCTCATGACATGGTTCCTACTAATGAAAACCTTACCAAGAAAGGTTTGCAACTAGCTTCTAAATGCCGCTTGTGTTGTACCTCTTGTGAATCTTCTAATCATTTATTTGTGCAATAGAGTTTTGCCAAAAATAATAATTTGGAACTGGCTTTACAATATCCTCTAAATTCATACTTCAGTTTCCTCTCATTTTGACATCCTTAATATTTGCAACAAGCCTTGGTCCCCTCAATGAAAAATGTTTGTTTCCTTTGGCATCATCAGCTTTTTCAACACCATTTGGCAGCAGAAACCAAAAAAAGGTTCAATAATAGAAGCATCAACTGAAATCTCCCATCACTCTGATTATTTCTAGTGCCTTTTTTTTAGGAAACCACTCCAAGTTTTCCTCTGACTATTCCCTATTAGAATTCTAATTGATAAAAAATTTCAAATCTATCCTCTAGAGGAACTTTGATCAAGGGAATCTATCAAATCCCCATCCATTAGCTTGAGTCAAGTGCTGTTTAGATGATGCCTCTAAAGATAACCCAAGTCGGTTTGCTGTGAAAACATTTTTAGAAATCACCATTGAATGGTTATTTGTTGCTTTACTGTGAATACTGGTTGGAGTGATTCCTACTCTGCTGAATTGTTAGGAGTTTTCCATGCTATTGAGATAACTCATAAGAAATAATGGAAGAATCTTTGGTTAAAAATAAATTCCACTATTGTTTCTTTGGCTTTTAAGGCTTCGCAATTCATTCCTTGAAGATTAAGAAACAAGTGGTACAATTGTGTCCTCCTCCTAAATAACACGAACTTCATTGTTAAAGAAGGTAATCATTGTGCATACAAGTTATGATGTGCAATTTCATTCTTTTCTCATTATTATCAGGGGTGAATATATTATAAATAAATTAAGTATTCTTAATTTTATATTTTTTTAACTTTGGGATGGTTGTTGTCCTCCCTTTCTTTGTACCTCATTTCTCTTTTATATAGATGGATTGATTCATAAAAAAAGGAAATAATAAAATATTTCTTCCATTTTAAAATACTTGATCATTTGAGAAAAAATTGTCACAAAATTTGAGACGCACTTAATATTTTTGAATTAGACAAATATTCGTGTTTTCGCATAGATTTTTGATAGATCTCATAGTCTTAATAAATACAATATGATTAAAACATGAGTAAAATTACATTTTCTTTACTATGAGTAAACTTGAATTTCTATCTATTTTCTTATTTCTTACGTTAAAACAAATATTTATGACCAAATCAATTTCTTTCCGAATTTGAAGCGAGTTTGCTTTTCTCTTTCAATATTTATCTCGTATTTTTTATTTATTAGAAACAAATATTTTCGATTTAATTTTAATTTATTTATTAATAAAAAATATTTATCCAGTGTTTGTTTATGCATCAATTACAAATATTCATGTTGTATTTTTTATATTAATAAAAGGAAATATTTGTTTTATATATTTTTATGAATGAGTAATATGTATTTGTCATGTGTTTTTTTATTTATTAATCATATATATTAATCCTATATTTTTATTAAGTATAAATAAAAAATATATGTTTCATATTTTATAAGAATTATTAACGACAAATATATATCATGTAATTTTTTTATATTAACTAATGATAAATATTTATTCTATATTTTATTTTGAATGCATCATTAGTTTTTAGTGCAAAATCTATATAAAGTCTAAGATTCTAAAATAAGTTTAGTCAAATGTTTGAAATTAAAAGTAATATAAAAATGGTTAAGTAATAAATGTAGTGACAACTATTTAAAAATAAATAAATTATAATAGATTCAAATTAATTTATTATTATTATTATTATTATTATAATATAATAGATTCAAATTAAGTTATCATTATAATATTTAATTTCAATTTTTTTAAAATAAATTGATTAGTGACAAATGCTTTATATTGTGATTAAAGAGGTTATTAGCAAAATTTGATTTCATTTGTATACTTAGGCACTACAGTCTCATTTTTAATTTCATTCGATTGCTCTCTCTTTCATGAAACTGAAACCTCACCCATCTGCTGTGGGTAGGTGCTCCCTTCACTCTCTCTTTCACGTTTCGTTCTAGGTTTTCGTTTTCGTTTTCTCTCTCCGATCTTCTCCGGCCACCGCTATCTTCTTCCAACTTTCTCTCTCTAGGTCTGCTTTCTCTCTCTCTCTCTTTTCAATTTCTGCATCGCGTCACCGTCCCGGGTTGTTTTATTTATGCACGCGAATCGGATTTGCATGACCTCAATTCATGGGACACAAAAAGCGATACTCTGCTCCTCGTTCCAAACCTTCGCCGGCGGCTTCTCCGGTGACTCAATCTCCCATCGGCGGAGCCGCCAAAGGTTCTACTTCACCCGACTCCGATGCCACCAACGTTTTCGATCAGAATCTCACTAACCCTAGCAAGAACGAATTAGTTCCTTTTCAATCCGAGGGTTCTGATTTCTCTGCGATTAAGGTAGAATGTGAGCGTGCCCTAACCACGTTTCGTCGTGGTAACCATAATAGGGCGATGAAGCTCATGAAGGAGTTGTGCTTGAAGGAGGAGGGTTCGCCTTACTCGGCGTTTGTTTATCGAATTCATGGATTTATATGTTTCAAAGTGGCTTCGATTATTACTGATTGTAGCGCGAAGCAGCGGCATTTGAAGCATGCTGTTGAATCGGCTAGGAGAGCTGTTGAGCTTTCGCCCAATTCGATTGAGTATGCACATTTTCATGCTACTGTAATATTGGAAGCGGCGACTGAGGCAAAGGATTATGAGGATGTGGTGCACGAGTGTGAGAGAGGGCTTGCTATTGAAAACCCAAATGATCCTGCTAAGGAGACATTGCAGGATGAGAGCGAGCAGAAAGTGTCTAGTTTGGAAGACCGGATATTACATGTGCAGGCTGAGTTGAGGCAGCTGATTCAGAAGTCTAACATAGCTTCATTGTCGTCTTGGATGAAAAATCTGGGTAATGGGGAAGAGAGGTTTCGCTTGATTCCTATAAGGAGGGCTACGGAGGACCCTATGGAGGTTAGGTTAGTTCAGGCTAGAAGGCCAAATGAGATTAAGAAGGTTACCAAGACGCCTGAGGAAAGAAGAAAAGAGATCGAAGTTAGGGTAGCTGCTGCAAGACTGTTGCAGCAGAAGTCAGAGTCACCGCAGGCTCCGAATGAAGGAGAAAGGGATGACAGGGCATTGGATTTGTCTTCAGGGTCTAGTCAGAGGGTAGGTGAGAGGCGAAGGCATATGAGAAAAAATGGCTCTACAGCCGAAAGGAGAAAGTGGGTGCTATCTTATTGGGATTCAGTGAGTATGGATGTGAAGAAGGACTGCCTTAGGATTAAAATATCTGATATCATCTCCCATTTTGGCTCTTCAAAGGAGACTTTGCCAAAAGATGTTTTATCAGAAGCTTTGTTATATGCCGAAGCCAATAAAACATGGAAATTTTGGGTTTGTGGCATTTGTACCGAGATATTTTCCAATCCGGAAGGTCATAGGCAGCATGTTATGCAGGCACACCTTCAGACTCTCTCGCCAAAAATGCAGAGAATTTTGCCTCAACATGTTGACAATGAATGGCTTGAGATGATTCTTAATTGCTCCTGGAAGCCTTTGGATGTCTCAGCTGCAGTTAAAATGCTTGACTGTAAAGCTAATCTCAAAGGTTCATCTCTTCCAGAGGATTATCTTGCTCAGGGCTACAATGTTTGTTTTAAAGATTCAACCAGCTCATACCATGAAAAAGAAAGTTTAGGGTACAGTTTTGGTAATTGTACAACAGAAAGAAGCAAGTATTATAAAATTGCTGAAAGTAATGCCAGAGAAGGCATTGAAGACCAACAGTTTATGGCAAATCCTGTTACTGATTGTTGGCCAGTTTCCGATGACAAGGAGCGTGCAAAACTTCTAGAGAAAATCCATGGAGTATTTGAAATGCTTATTAGACACAAATGTATTGCTGCAAGTCATCTTCAGAAGGTCATACAATTTAGTATGGGTGAGATCCAAGGTCTTGCTGCTGGTTCTGAACTTCTAAAACATGATGTAGACCAAACACCAATGTGCATATGCTTTCTGGGAGCTTCACAACTTAAGAAAATTCTCCAATTTCTGCAGGAAATGTCTCATGCTTGTGGGTTGGGTAGATATGCTGATAAAAGTAGTAGTCCCAAGAATGATTTGCATGATATCATCCAAAGTCCTGAGATCAGAGAGAAAATTGTTCTCAATGGAGATGCATCATGCCTTCTCCTGGATGAGTCTCTACTGCTAACACAATTCACTCCTGGTACAGCCCAGGAGTCTGTCTTTGAGGACATGGTCACCCCAAGTTCTCCTGATGGAATTTCAGACAGTAATGGTGCTTTTCTTTCCTGGCTATATTCAAGTCGGTCTATTGGGGATCAATTGTCTACATGGATTCAGACCAAAGAAGATAAAATATGCCAAGGGCAAGAAATGGTCCGGACACTTGACAAGGAGTTTTATCAATTACATAGTTTGTGTCAAAAGAAGTGTGACCGTTTAGCTTATGAGGAAGCACTACAGACAATTGAGGATCTTTGTCTTGAAGAAGGTAAGAAGAGGGGGAATGTGGATGAGTTTGTGCAGCGAAGCTATGAGTCTGTCTTAAAAAGGCGGAGGGAAGAGATTGCTGAGAGTGAAAATGAAATGGCGTATACTGGCAGTAGGTTTGAGATGGAATGTATATCAAATGTTTTGCAAGAAGCAGAAGCGATGAATGTTAATAATCAATATTGCTGTGATGAAACTTATCCTGGCGTGACTTCTCAGATATGTGACTTGGAATCCGGTGAAAATGATGAATGGAGAATGAAGGACTGCTTGCATCAAATGGATGGCTGTGTAGAAATTGCTATTCAAAAACTGAAAGAGCATGCATCTATAGAGGTTAGTGTGTTGGTTTTTGTCTCGTGTCTACTAAGTTAATTGTGAGGATGGTCTTTTTCCTTGATGTTCTAACCTAATTTGTTTGCCATGCAGATTAGCAAAGCTGACGCTGAGATAATAAGATGTGTTTCAGAGGTGCAGCAATTGGAACTCAAGCTTGGACTTGTTTCTGCCAATGATTATCGAGCAATACTTGTGCCTCTTGTGAAGGTGTACCTAAAGGTTTGTATACAAACTGCCCAACATGTACCGTTATTTCATCTTTCACTTAACTATATGTTTGTTTGTTTTGATCTGTTAGACACTTTTGGAAGATTTGGCTGAGAAATATGCTAGGGAGAAATCTGATGCTGCAGGTGAAGCATTTTTGGCTGAACTTGCTCTTGATTCCAAGAAGATTGGCAAAGGGGGAAATGAGAGCACGAGACACGTGGAGAAGACAAAGGATAAGAAGAAGAATAAAGATCACAGAAAAACAAGAGATTTGAAGGTGTTCATCATGCATGTTGAATTTGTTCATATATTTGGCCATTGTCTATGTTAACTGATTCAAATTTCTCTCTCTTGCAGGCCACAAGTGGTTCTATGCATCCCTTGCTTCAGTCTACTACTCTTGAGTCAGTATACGTTTACTTTGTTTTTCTGGGTTTTCATTTTTTGTTATTCAATCTTCTAGAGATGATGTAACTTTTCTTAAAAATGTTTTTAGTTGCAGTTCTGATCTAGTATCGCCTGATAGTGACTTTCAAGATCATGAGATTATTTCCATGAATGATGTTGATTTGGAACACCACGAAGATGATTTTAGACGTAAAATTGAGCTTGAAGAGGAGGAAAAAAAGCTTGAAGAAACCTTGGAACTTCAAAGGAGGATTGAAAATGAGGCCAAACAGAAGCACCTTGCTGAGCAACAGAAGAAATTATCTGGTACATGTGTAGAAGAAGTGTCAGACAAACTTCAAGGTTGTCGATTGAAGCCTGTTGTAGATGGCTCAGATGCGCAAGAATATGGAAGACTACCTGTGCAGGTATAAATCCCCTTTTGGAGTATCTCTTATACTGCATGTAAACATGCACAATTTCTGGTTACGAATCTTCCAGGTACTGTTGTATGGTTAATGGACCTATTAGACAAACATACAAATTATAGAAAATTACTTAAAGCCAAGAGTCAGGTATCGCAGGAAAAACACCTGCTGAACTTGCAATTTCTTTTCCAGGAACAGTTGGGAAAGGAGAACGGATGCCCAAACAATCTGGACGTCTTGCTTATTACCGCAGCAAATGGTTCCATGGCGCCGACTAAATCTTTGGCTGATTCAGCTCCCGCCAAAATTAATCACTTGCATCAGTCAAAAGTTAACCAAGGTTGGTGGTGTCTCAAAGTGCTTTATTTATTTAAGTTTTTAGTTGTGGTTCCTCACTTTTTTTTAAAAAAACATTTACAGCAGATATACCCAATGGAATTGTTCCAGAGAATGGTCTACCTTTGCCTGATCGGCGTGCAGGAAAAAAACATAAGCGGAATAAGAATTCGTCTAAAATGGTTGATGGAAAGTTGGAGTATGTCTCATTGGAGGTAAATGAGAATATTGAGGATAAACATACTGACTATCACATGAGAGAGCAGGCTAAGTTTCATAACAGTCAAGATGCCAAACATTGTAAGTTCTAATCTTTCTGAATTATTCTTTTCATGAAATACTGCGGTATGTTTATTCTCAACCATATAGGTTTTTATCAGATATACCTGTTTCATACTAATTCTTTACTAAGATGGTGTTCGACTCAATTGGATTTCATTGGCATGCACTATAAGATGTATCATGTATATATGTGTATGAGTGTAGCTTTCCATATACTCTCTTTCATTTTTGGCATTTGGGTTATTTTGTACCCTAGTTACCTTATACCTGGATCACTTATACCTCGTTTGGGTTACATGGTATATTAACTGATAAATACTGGTACAAAATATGATTTCAGATTGCCCCAGGCTTCCATCTTTTGGGCTAGGTATCACGGCCTTGCTTGATGTTAAATAGAATAGTATTTTGATTTCAGTTATACTTTCCCCAGCAACACTTGTTTAGATCATGGTTTTTCTTCAGTAGGCTTCCTTCTCTTAATAAAGAAGTTTTTGACCAATTCATACTTTTGTTCTATTCAATTGGATTCAAAATCTGCTTTGTGATATTTTAAGTTTCATTGCATCACTCTGTGCTTCTTTCCTCAAGAGTTACGTCAATATTTAAGTTCAAACTTGTTTTGTTGGTGCAGAAATCTTTTCTGTTTTTGATTCTTGATGAAGTCATTGATGATACTTATTCTAAAAATAGTATAAAAGATGCCATTTTCGTAATGTATTTTCCAAAATATGAAAATTAATGTGCTGTTACTTAAATATACCATCAATCAGTGTTGGAAAGCAATGGAGTAAAGGTGATGAAAGAATTGCAAGTAGAAGATGAGGAGGAGGAAAGATTCCAAGCCGATCTTAAAATGGCTGTTCGCCAAAGCCTAGGTATTATCTCAGTCCTTACATACATATATAGACTGGTTGTTTTCATCTTAAACTGCTAAGATGTGTTTTCTTATGCTTAATAACATATGTCTTTTCCTCCAGTAAAAATTCACCTACTTTGAATGACTCAATAAATGAAATGAATCCGTTTGAATGTTGATTTCTCTGAAAGTTTTCCTCAATCCTATCTGATTCCTTGGTCTGTTGCTTTCCTGGCTAAATTTAAACCTATACAATTAATAAACATTGTAGGTTGTGGCTCGTAAGTCGTAACTAATATAAATATCTGCCTGAGGTTCTTGCAATAAGTACTCCCTCCTCCGTCCCACAATGAGTGACCCATTTGGAATAAAATAGTGTCCTAAAATGAACGACCCATTTCAATTTCCAATACACTTTTTTCAATTCTACCCTCTAATTAATTAAACTTTCATCATTTCCAATACATGATTAAGGGTACTATAGTAAAAAGGTTATTCTCTTTTACTTTTCTACACTTTTCTTAATATGTGTGAAATGGTGGCTGGGTCACTTATTGTGGGAAGGAGGGAGTAGTATCCATGTTTTATAGGGAGGGCTTTGTTGGCTGCATAGTTGATTTTATGATTTAATGAATCATTTATAAAAACTTTAGGTTATTTCCAGAAATAAGAAAACCAAACTCCACACAATTAGAGTTGGCCCCATGTTAATCTAAAATGCAGAATAAAATATGACCAGATAGTAACAATGGAGATTCTGCTGCTGCTGCTGCTGAATACTTCGACTCACCCCTATCTTTATTCTCTAGTGTTTTCCCCCCCTTTCCTCTGCCTAGTGCCTACTTTTCCGCTTCTATTAGCATGTTTGTTTGAGATATTTAAGAACACAAACAGAGAAATAAATCAATTCCAATGCATTTTTTTATCAATGCATCTCAACCCAAGCTTCAATCAAACAGCAATTGTACTTTTAGCCCTGCCTAACGCTAAAACAGTTCTGGTCTAATACCAGAATTCCCTCCTCCACTTAACAAGTAACAACTGTCTATGTTGGTATTGCTCCCGAAATGAACTTTTCTTTTGGTACATACTTTCTGTGTAACCTATGGAGATTTCCCTTCATTTACAATATGTGGCTAGGGGTGTGCATGGTTACCAAATTTTAAGAACCAATCCATTTTAATGGTTCTAGTTTTAAAATCAAACCGTTTTTTATAATAACCAATTTAAAATTGCAAAATGGTTTCAATTCGGTTCAAAACCGGTTTAAACCGGTTTTCAATCAAAATTGGTTTATAAGGAAATTGTATCTTTCTTAATTTGAAGAGACGAAAAAAATCCAGGTTAATGAAGAGAACAAGATGCAAAGGCATGTGTCATTTTTATACTATTATATTCAAACACCAGCACAAATCGTTTATCACAATTTTTTTGAAAAGCAAAAAAGTAAAATTCAATTCAAGAGTAAAAACATTACACTTTAATCCATGATAAAATTGCACCAGAACACTAAAACTAGAACTCAGAAAAACTAAAACAAAACATCCTAAAACCAAGACAAAATCTGCTTCAAAACAATTGCTACACCATAAAAGTTAAACAAAAAAACAAAGATTAACAATCGTTCATCACAATTAACTTAATAAGTTCTTCTTCCCTTAACTAACCACCACTCTAATTAACTAATTAATAAAATAAAATATATAAACTGGTTTTCCATTTTCAATTTGAATATTATATAAACTGGTTTACATGAATTTGAATTTCCTGCGCCTTAATAATACCTTATTCATTAATAATAATATCATATACATTTGGTTTTATGTATGACAACTGGTTATGAAAAATGGAAACCAGATTTTTGTTTTGATATCAAAATGGATCTGGAGCGGTTCACATCCAACACAAATTGGATTATAAAAATTGGTGCACTGAATTTTTAAATTTGGTTCGTGTAAACCAGTTTTTTTGCACACCTTATATGTGGCCATCATGTCCAATCAGCTCCCTCTTCACAATTTTTTTTTTTATATCATACACGTGCAGTAACAATTCAACTTCTGTATAAGATATTAGAGGCTAAAGTATATGCTTTAGTAATCAGTAGTTTGTCCCTTGCTGCCCCCACCCCCATACTTTTCATGAACTAACTTTAATTTTACCACAAGGAACTTACTTTTACTTTAAAGTCCAAATGTTCTTATGTGAGGTTTGTCATGACATATAAAGTCATTCTTGAGCCTCTACCTCCCAGTTTAAGCTGTTGGAGTAGTTGGTTCTTGACAATGTCTATGCCATGGATTAAGCTTTCTGTGTTTCAGTTCAATTTTTTTATCGTCAATTTCTTCTTGATTTGAGAATTAGATTTTCATATCGTCTGCTTGTTGACAACATATATGACCAAAGTGATACCAATTGCTCTCTCATAGTTGTTGATCCAAAGCCCATGTTTATTGTTAAACCTTAATGCTGCAAGCGTGCATTTGCCATTTATCTACACCTACAATGCTTTACCCGCTATCCGAATGCTTATTAAACACCCTTCTTTTCTTTCTAATGCATTTACCTGTATATTTATTTACTAACCATTTCATGCTACTAAAAATCATTATAGCCATAATTATTTAGTTTTTTATAGATTCATGTCGTAGTTTATTTTCGTTACAAATTACCAGCAAAATTTGACAAAACTAAATCCTGATAGTCATGTAAAAATTTCCTGTCTCTGTTAAATTCGCTATAATTACTCATGCACCTTAAACAAGAAGTTCTGGGTTCATCCCGTGACTGTCTAATCCTCTAAGAGATTCTTCTTGTCAGACACATATCAAGCACGTGGAAATTTGCCTTTGGTTTCAAGTTTAAGGATGCCACAGAGATCTTCCTCACAGGTAGACCGTTCAGGTCTTGCACCTTTGGAAGATTCAGCTCAGGACGTGAATGGAGCTAGTTTACTTGGTACAGGACTGATGAATGAAGTGGGGGAATATAATTGTTTCCTCAATGTTATTATTCAGGTAGGTATTTTGAAAGTTAATTTTTTCCTATATTTTATTATATTAACTGCAGTTATATAAATTACAGACTTTCTACATTCTGAAAAGGATTTCTTGTTTCTGTATGACCTCAGTCTTTGTGGCATTTAAGCCGCTTTCGGGTGGAATTTCTTGGCAAATCAAGATCAGAGCATGCTCATGTGGGTAATCCCTGTGTTGTCTGTGCCCTGTATGAAATATTTACCGCTCTAGACCTTGCTTCAAAGGATTCAAGGAGAGAAGCAGTTGCACCTACTTCCCTGCGGATAGCTCTAAGCAATCTATATCCACAGAGTAACTTCTTCCAGGAGGTAACTTCATTGACAGAAAATGAATAAAAGGTAGTTCTTCTGTTGACAATGTGATTAATGTATTGGCATTTGGCAGGCTCAGATGAATGATGCTTCTGAGGTACTGGGAGTAATATTTGACTGCCTTCATCGATCATTTACCCGTCGTGGTTCAGGTGTTTCTGAAGCAGAATCAGTGGAAAGCAACTGCACGGGGTCTTTTGATTGTGCAGCTGATAGTTGTATAGTACATTCACATTTTGGAATGAACATTTTTGAACAGATGAACTGCTACCATTGTGATCTTGAGTCCAGACGTTTGAAGTATACTTCTTTCTTTCACAATATAAATGCCAATGCCCTTAGGACAATGAAGGTATCTTTAGGAATTTTCTTCACATCTAATCAGTTAGTGTTTCTGATTTTATGCTTCCAGGGGCATGAAAAAACAGTTATGCTTGTTATGTACATGTAGCTTAGTTAAATCCCTTGGTCAATTTTCAGGCTATGTTTCCTGAGAGCTCCCTTGACAGGCTTTTGAATCTTGTGGAGAGGAACCATCAACTGGCTTGTGATCTAGAGGCCGGGGGATGTGGCAAGCTCAACCACATCCATCACTTTCTTTCAGCTCCGCCCAATGTTTTTATGACAGGTATCTCTGTTGTTATGTGGAGGTCAATTTTTTTTTTTGGTATGCTCTTTTTGCCTTCTCTCTTACATGTCTGGTATTCACAGTTCTAGGTTGGCAAAATACATGTGAGAGTGTTGATGACATAACTGCAACTCTGGCAGCCCTGAGCACCAAGATAGATATCAGTGTCCTTTATCGTGGTTTAAGTCCTAAAAGCACCCATAACTTGGTTTCAGTGGTATGTGTTTAAATGATGATATGCTTGGAACTTTTCTATTTATTATTAATTGCTTTTTCTTCCTGCTGTAAGAGATGAATTTGAATTACAGAAAAAGACTGCAACGTAAACATTTAGAGTTTGTTTGGTTCAACGGAGAGGGGGGATTTTAATTACATATATCTTTTGTTCAAAAGAGGGGAGAGGAGAAAATTTAATGTTATGTATGTTTGACTCACAAAGGAAGGGAAATAATTTAAGTATGTGGTCTAGGAGGGATTTGACTTTCCTCCTCTCCAACTCCCCTCAACCAAATAGACTCATACTGCAGACGCCCAATGAATTGTGGTAACATTGTGGGCTAGTCAGTGCTTTAAGTATGGGGTCTATGGCCCAAATGTTCAAAACAATGGACTCAAACTCTTCCCACTTGTATACATTTCACTTGTCCCTATAGTGTTCGATGTGAGAGTCTTTAATTTCCGACACTTCCACTCAAGTCCAACTTGATAATAAATTCTTACGCAAGTTTTTCTTCTGCTGCGTATTTCTCAACCCATAATGTTTCACTTAATATCTAGTTAAAGTCTTGAACAGTGAAAATGTTAATTTATACACTTCCTAAAACAAATATGAGCTCAGATGTAAATCATTGTGCTGACTAGATGGTTAAATGTATATTGAACCCTGATTCTGCCCAGGAAAGACTACCCCACCATACTCTTGCTTGCTGATGTTTGAGGGGCCTCTCCACCCTTGTAGATTTTTATAGCTTCTTATTTCCTCTTCCATTTGGTTCAGTACCGTTTTGCAATTTTTACGTGAAAAAAGTAGTCATATCTGTACCAGACCTTTAATTTTACATATTTAGTTTTCTTGTTCATTATGGTCTGCATCATTTTTGGTCTAATTTGTGCCATTTGTACTTGTAGGTTTGCTACTATGGCCAGCATTATCATTGCTTTGCTTATAGTCGTGACCACGGCCAATGGATTATGTATGATGACAAGACTGTTAAGGTGAGTTAAATATAATGAATAGATGAATATGTGTTGTCATTCTTGTTGTGTAAATTTTTTCCCTTAAATGACCAGGTAATTGGTGGATGGGCTGATGTTCTTACTATGTGTGAGAGAGGACATCTCCAGCCTCAGGTTCTCTTCTTTGAAGCTGTAAACTAGATTTCTGGTGGAATTCATAACATCATTTGCTGGACCAAAGAGAGTTTAATTGGACAAATTTCTGGCGAGGCCCTGTTTAGGCTGATGTGTTGCATTACACAGAAAAGGTTTATAAGTTGCAAGTTTCACTGATGTCCAACAAGTTTTGGCGTACATATCTCGGGATATACAGTGTTTTAAATTTTGTGATACAGTTCATGATTTTAATAGGAACATATTCTCAGGGGTGGGGGGATGATGACGAATACATTTAGTATAACTGGATTACTTGAAAGAAAGCCAAGAGTGGTGTTTGGCATTGAGCATTGCCCAACACAGTTGGTTCATTTTGAAAATATCAGATTCATTTATTGTATCCATCCAATAAGCAGGTTTTGGTATTGTTAGAAGAACCTCTAGTTGACCAACAATCTGTAAGAAGATCTTAGGCTGTTTTAGATAAAAAATAATTGCCCATTATTGTTGGGTAACATATAGCAATTTGTGCGAGGGGAATTTGTTCTTCAGCTGTTGTGGAAATTTCCCTTCCACCCCCTCCAACCCCCTACCAGAAAAAAGATGATCTGTATAGTTCTTTCAGTTAAATTTGTTCCGACGTCAGCTTGTTGCAATTGAGGTTTACTGATCTACTGGACAACTTCTCTCCCTTTCATGATACCTGTTATGGAATGTGCTGCATGGCTGACTTTGTGCCTACACAGCAAATTAAGGAAATTCCATCAGTTGGATTCACAACACTGTACCTTTTTGTTTACTTATTTTTAGTTGTAGGGTGGGGGAGAGGGTAGGATCTCCGTGAACAGAGTATAAGTGAACTAATGATATTATGTTATAGTTGCAGGTATTTACCGGAGATTTGTGAGTGAAAAGCTGAATGTTTTTTGGCACAATTTTGTCCCACACTTTTTGGGAATAGCGTTTAATGAGATTCTATTCTTATATATATAGTATTATACTAAAAAAACTAATTTAATGTGTTAACAGTAAACTTTTTTAATGAATTGAATACACCATTTTCTAGGTAATATTACTATATTTTTTAACTTTTATTTTTAGAGCATTTGTTAGCTTTTTTTTTTGTTTTTATATTTTTATGCTGAAGCTTTTGCTGATGTTTTATGATGAGGAGTTTTATTTGAACACTCAATATTTGATAGTGTATATCAATTGAATATCAATGTTCTCAATTTTTGTTTTCATTTCATAGGCTTACACGAATTTCAATAATACACTAGTATTATACCTAAAAAAAAATACATCCAATACCTTTTTGACATTAAAACTTGTGTGTCAAAAACTATCATTTCTCTTTTATTATATTCTAGTTTTATTTATATCAATGTTTTCTATGGAGTTTATTAAATTCATCATACATTTGATCAAGATACTTTCATTTTGTTGTTTAATATTGTTTCGAAGATGATAAGCTTTATTAGATGGTATCCTAATTTGATTATTTATTTATTGCATATATATAAGTTGGTATCCTGATTTGATTATATATTTTATAAGAGAAAAGTAGTGATGTACTGATTGTGTAAATTAATTTTATATTGTCAATTAATCACAATCTTGTATCAGAATAAATCATATTTTAATTTTAAAATTCTTTTAATGACAAGGTAGTTTGTTGGTTTTCTATTAGATGATAGTGTAAAATAATTTTACACTGTCAGTATATAAATTAAATCCTATTTATAAATGTTTCATTAAGTTGATTTGAAGGTGTCATAATGTTTACGAGAAATTTGTAGAATAGAGTCTAGTTGATCATGTGTTTAACTACTGGTCGATGTAAGTTTGTGGAAATTTTCTATTAATGTGAGGAAGTGTAAGTGAAGAGGGTAGGTTAATGTAGGGTGGTTCTTAGGTAAGTGAATTTGTAACAGACTCGATTTCACTGCATGCTAAATATTGACAAGGTTGCAAACTATTATTTTTCTTCTTCTCTGCTTTTCCTTTATCCAGATTAACCCATCATTTTCCCTTCTCAAAAAAGGTTTAGAAAAAAATATGTTTAGTAAAAAGTATCAATTTTAAAGCATTCATTTGCTACCAACATAACCTATTTCAGGTTAGCATCTGGCTATTAGATTCTTGGACTTGTTTTTGTTAGTTTGTTAGCGATTTCAGGTTAGCATTTGGCTATTAGATTCTTGGACTTGTTTTTGTTAGTTTGTTAGTGATTATTAGGTATATTAGTTAGGGTTCTCCTTGAGTTTCTAAGTATAAGTTTACCTTTAATTAATAGTTTCTAATTCATATTATAACATTTTCAATATCAGATTTCAAAACTTGGTATCCATTTCTAATCTATATTTTCTCTCTCTTTGCCCAAGTTTTTTCTCCAACTCCCTTCAATGAATAATAATTTTTTTCTTCAATTCTCGAACAAATTAGGCATACCATTGTTACCTTCATCCTCATCCTAATGAGAATTCTTCTCCAATTCTCGGCTCTCCCTCTTTCGGTAGCAAGAGTCATGAGTTTGCCAGCTGAAGATGGGAATGATCTTTAAAAACAAATTTAAATTCATCTATGAACGCACTAAATATCAATTTTTGGTAAAATTTAATTCAAATATGCATCTCCGAATAAATTTTTAAGATAAATTCGAAGATGCATATTCGAAGTTACTTTTGATACACTTAAATTTTTTAATACCACTCAGTGATATTTTTAGAGAATTATGACCAACTTGAAATTTGAGTATATGACCGCCTTGAATAATCATCTTTCTCACTTTTCAAGCACTACCAAACACCTTCATAACCAAAAAGTCCCGTGAAAAAAATCTTATTAGCAATCAATTTTTCAATTCAAAATCAGATTTTATGCATTCTAATACAACAAATGAGCATCATAAGCTGCAATTTAAGGTAAAGTTCTCTCATTTCATTCCTCATTGCTTGCATTGATCTTTACTTTGAGTTGAAAAAACTTTCGCCTGATTCGAAAATGTATTTCTGAACTCACCTACATTATTTCAGAAATGTATTTCTAAATTCTATTATTATTGGTTTTTAAATTTTTTGTTGTTTTGCTTCTTATCAGATATAGTTCACCCGAATATATTTTCAAAAGTAGTTGTACGTGACGATGTAAAACAAGATGTAACGAAGGATAAAGTTAAACCAGTTGAAGTTTAGTAGGATATTAAACTGGAAAAGTGAAAGATAACGTTAAAGTGATACAGATAGCCGTTGTTCAACGTTTTATAAATGAATAATTGTACATTGTTTGCGAACATATGTTTCAACGGGTCTGCATAGTAGCCAAAAATTTGGGGTTTGACATTGTAATTGGAAGGTCTGACAATGGTTCTAATAGAACATAAACATTTGTAACCATGACATGCGGGATAAGTGAGACATATGTTCTCACGATTTAGAAGTTGAAATGTGATGACACTGGAACGAAAAAAGTGTGCTTGTCCGTTTAAACTGCGCAGATATTGTAGCGTTGATGAGATGTGTAAATTTAATGTGCTTTCTGGAATAGATAATCAGGGATTGCAAACAAAGCTAGTCGGTCATTCCATTGTATGTCGTCTTAAACCACATAAGAAGGAAATTGTTTCAAAAATATCTTTAATTAGAGTGGCGTCGAAAAATATACTTGCAGATTTGAAACGGAAAGACCCAAAAAGTGTTTCAAATATCAAGCAGGTATACAATTAGTGTCATAGAAAAAATACGGCGGTAAGGGATCCAAGATCCAAAATGCAACAACTTTTGAAATTTTTGGATGAAAATCATTATGTTTCTAGGTACGCAGTATGCGATGATAAAGTTAATGTTCGTGATATTTTCTGACTCATCCTGAAAGTATCAAGTTGTTCAACATATTTCCTATTGTATTCATTATTGATGCAACATACAAGATTAACAAGTATATGTTTCTGCTTATTGAAATGGATGATGTTACTTCCACGGAGAAGACTTTTTCAGTGGGATGTATTTTTAGAATTCGAAAAAGAGGTCAACGTTGTATGGGTCTTGGAAGTGTGCAAGACTTTGTTGAAGGATCAAGAAAATATGCCGATGGTAATTGTCACCGATTGAGACACCGCACTAATGAATTCAGCTACAAAGGTGTTTCCTACATCATATGCATTACTTTGTCGATATCACATTTCAAAAAATATGAGGAGTCAGCTAAAACCTATTGTAGGCACCACATAAGAATTGTATGTTGCCTTCGTAATCCAATTTAGAAGCATGTGTGTCCAAATTTTTTGAAGCACGCTGAGAGTACTATTCTGGACCATGTGAAGGAGAAGATTGTTTGTGCATGGACCGATTAGGTTAGACACCTCGGTACTACAATAACTAACAGAGTTGAATCAACGCATTCGATATTGAAGAAATGTTTGGGTGATAGTAAAGGGGTTTCCGTAGAGATTTGGACGGTGTGAACTAAATACTCAAAAACTAACATTCAGAAATACAAATCACTTTTGATCGAAGTATAGCGATGCAAGTACATAGATTCAAAGATAACATTCTCTATTAACAATTGGTTGGATGTGTATCTCAGTTGACATTGGATTTCATCTTTCACAAAGCGAAGCAAGCAGAACAGACAGGTGCAGATTCAGAAAAGTGTGGATGCACAGTTAGAAAGACTTATGGTCTTTCATGTGTTTGTCTCATTGCAAAAAATTTAAATATTAATTTCCCGATACGTACGGACGAAGTGTACAGTCACTGGAGGTATTTTTTCCATACGCAATGGTCCATCTAAAAACGGTTCCAGATGCATCATACGCATATAGTTTCTTTCAAAGGATCAACATTTTGTTCAGGTTTATTTGAAACCTAGTGTCCAGTTCCAGCTACATTGATCGAGTGGACGACACATTTAACAATTGATTTTGATTTATTTTGATTTACATTGCATGTGCTTGTTTACAAAGATTCTGATTTTTTTCTGATTCAGTAAAGTTTTTGAATATGTGACTCCAAAGTCATCCTATTTGTTATGAAAAGTGTGGTTTT